AAGACTTTGCTGGCCAAAAACAGATATATTACCTTTATTGGGAAGTCTCCAAGAGATGCCATTCATCTTTTAAATAAATTATAAATCAAGATCAAGAAGTTCTTATTTATCAAAAACAGAAATGAATTTCAGGCCATTTATAGTTTTGTTTGCTTCATGTTGTTTATTTCTGCCATGTCAATAAGGCTTCAGGGGAAACCATTCAATATAATCTTAATCTAAAATTATAGCAGAACTCTAAATGCAATTCAATGTCTTATGTGAAGGGATTAAGAGAACGAATGCAGACGGATAGAAGCTGACATCAAAAAGGAAGAACAAGAGACTTTCCCAATAATAGCCGAGAAATCAAAGGGAAATTTAAAACAAGAAAGGAGATACTCTAGTCTACAACGAGTCAGGAAACATATTATGTGATGAAATAGAAATCAAAGACAATGAAACAATATATGGCAAAAATCTGAAAGGATGACAATTTCATTCAAGAAACCATATAAAGATAAAACTCCAGTTTTAGAAAAGGAAATGGAAGCTGTATTGAGAGCACCTGTAAGAAATAAAGCACCAAGAAGCACACAAATTGAGCTGCTTCAATCTACCAAGACAGAATCTATTCCTGTTCTAACTAAAATGTTAAAAAAATATGGAAAACAAAAGAATGTCAATATACATTTCAATTCTCAAGAAAAGGGACACCAAGGATTGGTAGCGAGAAGACATCACTCGTTAAAAAAGAAGCCAATGTAGGGTAGAAGATAGGAGGAAAAGAGGAAGATCACATTGAAATGGATATTCAATCAAGGAAGCCACCATTCTAAGTCTGTAAGACCTGAGCAGGATTGCTGATGATAGAGTGACTTGTAGGTGGCTCGGGCATGGTTTCACTATACATTTCACTATACAATTTGACAGTAATTTACAACATCAACAAATCCACCAGGAGCTACATGACCCATTTGTCTTTTATATCCTATGGAGGAAATGTAATAATTTGATCCACCACAGTTGACCACCCCTGCTTTTATAGTCACATATCCAAGGATAAAACTCCTTAGTTTTCAGTAGAGACCTACAAGAAGCACTGCTTGAATATCAAGCAAAAAGTAGGCGCTAGAAATAATATCATATGAAAGCTGACTGGCACAACCTGGGGATCACAACCAGACACAGTGAAGACATCTGTCCTTGCGCTATGCTACTCTGCTGCTGTGTATGCATGCCCAGTGTGGAACACATCCCACCACGCTAAAACAGTAGATGTGGCTCTTAATGAAACATGTTGCATTATCACGGGGTGTCTGCACCCTACACCACTGGAGAAATTACACTGTTTAGCCGGTATTGCACCACCTGACATCCGCCAGGAAGTAGCAACCAATAGTGAAAGGACCAAGGCAGTGACATCTCCAGCTCATCCCCTGTTTGGATATCAGCCAGCACGTCAATGACTTAAATCAAGAAATAGTTTTCTAAGATTTCTACAGAGACACTCGCTGGAACACCTCAGCAAGCGAGAGTCCAAAAGTGGCAGGCTCAAACCCAGAACCTCAATCAATGGCTGATACCAAATGAGAGACTCCCCCCTGGGCACATAGAAAACTGGGTGACTTGGAAGGCGCTGAACAGTCTGCGCTCTGGCAGCATGAGATGCAGAGCCAACCTTACGAAATGGGGCTACAAAGTGGAATCCACGTCATGCGAGTGTGGAGAAGAGCAAACCACTGACCACCTGCTGCAATGCAACCTGAGCCCTGCCACATGCACAATGGAGGACCTCCTTGCAGCAACACCAGAGCACTCCAAGTGGCTAGCTACTGGTCAAAGGACATTTAATCAACTACCAAGCTTGCAAACTTTGTGTTTTGTTTGTTTGTTTTATGTTTAAAAAATGCAGTGCAACTGTTTGGTCTGCCCCTGACACGATAAATAAATAAGTAGAGAAACATACAATTCCACCTAATTATTCCTGTAAGCCATTTTGACAATAGTTTTGGCACATTAATAAGACAATGAGGTAAAGTTTTCTCCAAAGACACACTGGAATAAGGTTATTTGAACTTGTTAAAAAACCAGAAGGTATTGAAAAAGAATTGGGCTTCTTGATTCAAGGCATTCTAGACCCTATGTGCTATCATTTAAAAGATACACTTGCACACAATGGCATTGGGCATTTGTGGGATGTCCATCAAATTTCTGACCTCAGGGTCTGTATGGGGAAACACTCTCTCAGGATGATATCACATTAGAGATCTAAAGCGCGGGTCTGCATTTCCTTATCAGCTGGTTTGCTCCTGCAGAATTCTCTGAAATGTAGTTTAGGGAAGCTGAGGACAAGGCCGGCTGAGAATTCCAAAGGCTCCGCTCTAAACTACATTTACCACAATTCTGCAGGAATAGGGAAACATGGACCTACGTTTTAAAACTCTAATGTGTTATCATCATCACATGACATATTTCTGATTTCTTCAGCTCTCAATAGCAGCAAGAGCCTCAATCTGGCTGAGTATCAAATGGAAGGCAGTAAAATCTGCAGAGCACAAATGGTGTGACATGTACAAAGCCTGGTGTTTTACCTCCAAATTAGGGCACTCAAATGTGGCACCTGCAGAAGCCAGATTTGAGTGCCAGTCTCAAATGCAGGTGACTACGTAGTACATTATACTGGTTGAATGATCTCTATGCAGAACTAACATAGCTACTACTCCAAGGAAGCAAGTAATTAATAAAGTTCCTAACCATTGTGTTACCTATGCCTGGTTTAAAACAAATGTCTTATTAATGTAATGTTTTAATGAATTGTTTTAAATGTATTATATTTATGACTGTGGTTGGCATTTGAATGAATTCTTGTTGTGAAGCCACCCTGAATCCCCCATCCCACCCCCACCCCCACCCCCCACCCCAGTGGTGAGAAGGATGGGATACAAATATACGAAATAAATAAATAAATAAATAGTTATTCAATCAGTCTGCGTCCATAAAAAGGGGACATTGTATTCCCTGAATGTAAGAAAGGTGATGTAGCTTACATTATAATAATTACTGTGAGGATTTAGATTTGGGAAGGTTCTTTTCTCTCCTTCAGTACTAGTAAGAGGAAAAGTGACAGATTTAATTAAGAGGGCGATGTGTACATTTTGTCACATTTCTGTGCCATTTACTAATTACTAACACTTTTCACAGAGTGTTATTTTATAATGAACTACTCAAAAGGTTGTATGGAAGATGTATAATTAGTAAGAAAATTAAGGGCAGCTGTGGCAAAAAATGTATGTCTATTTTGTTGTGTTGACCCCTTTTCTTGCACCAAGATGAGGTTTTTTTTTCCTGCATGTCTTCCAGGCAGTTTGTTGGAAGGTTAATGGTGTTTCCAGAGCCTCATGGTAAACTTAACCACATTCAGCCCCTGGCACTATAATTGTGACCTCAATTTCCCCAAGGGTTAAAAATGCTCCAAAATGCCCTCTGGGGTAAGGAGCATTTTCACACATTTTAAAAGCCCCCTGTTTGCTTCAAAAATGCCCTTTAGAGTATATATAAGAGGTTTTCATTACGTTTCCTTCCCCATCAATGAAGGTCCAAAGACCTCAATTCATTTTCTTCTGTTAAGAAAGACTTGTACTGGTCTCAAAATGCCCCTGAAAATGCCCCAAAACATGGGAGGGGTGTATTAGGGGTATGAGGCCTTCCACAGTTGCCCACCAAAAATGTATTTCTGCAAGTGGGTCAGAAGTAGAATATTTTCAAATTGTCACTCATATGAAATTACTCTGCCTGTAGGACATCAGCAGAGAATGTAAATGCTAGCAGAAAGCCATCTTCTGCTTATCTAATTTTCTACGTGCCTCCATATATCTTCTTTCCTATCTACCAGATAAAGTTTACATTTTCAGAATATCACATGATTTCACTGAACATAACAACAAAGGATGGCATGTCATATGTAATATTATGTCAATATTTTGTAATGTTTATGGTGTCATATAATGTTTATGTGGTATCATAATCATTACCATCAAAATTATAAAGAATATATAACCATGTAATTTTGTGTATATGTGTGTTGGCTCAATCCCCATCCCTTGTCAAATCAACTTACAGACAAAAATGTATGATTATTATAACTCACGGAAGTCAAAAACATACAGATCATATTACTGTTTTCAGGATTCTGCATGCAATGCTTAAAAATTCCTGCACAAACTTTAAATTCTCAAGAGTGTTGCGTAGACATCAGTCTCTGTTCAGTGAACTGCTGCATCCTGTTAATGACATAAGCAAGCAGAAGTTCTGGTTATGAGGACATAGCCAGGCATCTCTCTGATTCCCGCTGCTCTCCACTAGTGAACCCATCTCTATATCCCTTCTCAACTGACAGACATTTTTGATGTCTCACTTGAAATGTTGCATATGTCACAAGATAGATAAACATCACAATACTTGCTACCAGCATCACTTCCAACTTATAAAACTTCATATGAAAATCTGTTGAGTATTACAAATCAAAGGACACAGGAAGCCCCCTTTTGACAAAGAAAGCAGGATGTCACCATGAATGTCTAAAATGGTAACTTGTCTTGACAGATACCACAGGGAGGCTATTTCAGTTTGGATTATCAAGGCATCCTTTCCTCCACAACTGGAGTCCTTTGCTACTTGGGGGAAAAAAACAGAAAGAGCTCTGACAAGAAATTGCTTTGCCTCAGCACCATTTTAAAATTCCTTGCATTCCATTTCACTGTCCTGTCACATCATGTCATGTAAACTATGACATGCCATAACACACCATGACAGTGTGTACCTAACACACTGCAACAGGAGAATGAGATTGAATCTTTCCAGGTCTCAGGAATTTCTCCCATAAATGATTCTCCATTAAAGAAGAAACATAACATATTCTTTTTCCTTGTGGAAAATTAGCATATTATGTCTATAGTAGTGGACAAGCCAAGATCAGTCTTCAACTTCATTTTGTGCATTCCTCTTTTAAAATGTTGGCATTTTTTTATCTTTCCCAACAATAATTTTATTAACATGTCAAAATGAGTTCTTCCAATACTTTTGCAACACCACAGTTTGTGAGAGTGGATCTGCATTGCCTGAGAAAATTGTCCTCTGTCAACAGGGAGGGCAGTTCTCCTTTGCAAGAGGAAGTCTGAAAAAGAACGGTTAGTGCTTCACCAAGGAGGAGACATGGGCTGGGGGTTCTGAAGATAGGACATCACTACAGCAGAGATAGACAACATGAAGCTGCTCATCATCTGTTTAGTATCTTCTGAGCTTCTAGAGTTGGCAAAGCTGATGAATGAACAGTAGACAGCAATCCAGGCACACCACTTTAACTTCAACATCTTTTAAAAATGTTGGTATTTTTAAAAGAAACACCATTAGAGAAATGTCCTTCCATGCTGGCTTCTGTTCCTCTTTCCCTCTTGTAGTTCTTATAACTTACACTTCCCTCAAAATGCCATTTGAATTTGTATGACCATTCTGATTTCTACCTCTTTGTTCAAGTCTCTAAACTGATGTTGAATGCAAGAAAAAATGGCCACAGTCAGTCTTAGTCCTTGAAGTCTATATCTGACCCTCCTGTGATTTCTTTGAGCTTATCCCACTTCTCCTCTTTCATTGCTTTGTCTCAGGTGGGCTACCAGAATTGCTCTTCTCATTCAGCATGGTGCCAGTCATCCAAGTCCTTTCAAATATCAAGTCTATGGGCTCCTTTGTATAAAACAAACATAAAGCAGGAATGAACAGGTTAGATTTGCCTTATGCATTTCCCTTGAGCTTCAGGTGGATGAATGAAATGGCTCCTTTGTGTAGCTCTGACATTTCAATGTAGTTTTAAAGCAAACATAAAGCTAATGGAAAAGATAAGGTTGGCTCCTCTACAATCGTCAGTGTTAAATCTGCCCACAAAAGCTATATGACATTACAAGGAGGTATCAGCTCTAACCCCACCCAGAGGTTGCAGTTTGGTTTTGAGTCACCTTCCCTAAGAGAATTCAGAGCACAATTGAGTTTATGTCAGCAAGAAATCTATGAACTGCCTGTAGAGATGGCTGGCCAAGGGACCAATTACTTCCGTATCTGATGGCAATTATTGGATAACATCCAACTGCACCCTAGATTTCAGCATCTCATTTGTCACATGGGATACTCATCTTGAAAACTGAACAGAGAAAATAGGATTGTTTAAATACAGTGGCAGCTGGTACCTAATTAAAGGTATGGGTGGTGAAAATATCAAAGCCTGGATGCAAAGAAGAAAACAAGTCATCCCAGAACCCCAAGAGAACATTGGGCTTCTGTTTCTCAAACAGCACTCCCATGTACACACACAGACGAACATGGGAAGCATCTTTGGAAAGTGTATGAATTCCAAAAGCAATTTGTGATAGTGCACATCAGATCCAATGTCCAAACTGAAAAGGCTAGCATGTCTTTGGCAAATGATATGTTCACACCTCTGGGAGAGCGGGTGGAAATCAGATTACAACCCTCCAAAACACTCAGTTAGGATAGCAAAAAGCCATGCTGATTGGAGCTGATGAAGGGGGCAGTGTTCTGAAACTGTAGTCTAACAAAAAGAACTTTTCCAAGCTGCATGTATAAGTAAATCCCTTGTGAGATTAGGGTGCGCTCTGTATCCAGTTTCATAGAAGATAATCTGCAATTTGAGTGATTAATAAATGAGCGCCATTTATCTAAAGTATCCTTCATTTGAAGGATTTTTCAGTCCAAGTCCAGTAAAACAGTTAAGAATCGTAAGAAAAGGGAGCAAGGGCTCTCAAGTTGTTTGTCATCAACAGTTAGGGCCAGGCAGAAGACAAAGTAGGCCCAAAGCTTACAATCTTCTACATTTTAGGTAAAAGTGACAAAGTGAGCATTTCGGTCCACCAGAACTCTTTTTCAAGCTTAGATAGTACTAACTGCCCACATTGGGGATGGAGTAAAGGTTCCGAAAATTAATCAGATGTATTGGCTGTTGTCTCTGGACATTATCTGGGTTTCAATACAAAGACTATAGACTTCATTGAAGTTACTAAAGTGTTTATTCTGTATGCGTGTTTCACTAAGTGAAAAGAAGTAAAAATATGGTGTAGTGGTTTGAATGTTGGACTACACTTCTGGAGACCAGAGCTCAATTCCCCATTTGGCCATGGAAATCTGCTTGTTAATAGGGCTATGCACAATCTGTTTTTCAAAATGGTATTCAGCCGGTTTGGCTCTTTCGGCTCTTTTGGCCAGCCATAACTGCATGGGGTTTTTTTCCAACCTCAACAGACCAGCTATTGACTCTGGTTATCTTCAGCTTCATTCAGAGTGCAGAGAGGCAGCCTTGTGCCTGCTTGGGGGTTTCCCTATGAGCCCTGCCTGTTGAGTCAATAAGAGCAGAAGAAAGTCATAATGTGTCTTTTAGCCAAGCTGGGCCTCCATTTTTCCATGATGAGCATGCTTCTAAGAAAGATAGATCATGCTCCAGTCTGTTGATGATCTAAACTCTCAGTTCCAATTATAGCTCTTCATTGTTTGCCTGACTTTTTGACTTAAATAGCAGTAAATCAGTGTTTGGTTTCTACACCCTTAAGCAACTGCCACTGATGGTGCCCTTCACACAACACAAGCTTCAAATGTGGGGTAGAGATATCTTGCCATTTCTAAATCCACCATAAAATAAGGAGATAATTTGTATCTTTTGGCTAATGTTCCTTCAGGTGCTGTGGCTCCCACTGAAATAAGGGTACCTTAACTCAGCTTCATTGCAAGGATATTGAGGTGAAGCAATGCCAAAAAAAAGATGGTTTCTTAAGTCTGATGCCTTAACTCAAGTCTAGTTGAAGGATATGAGGAAAAAGTATCCCAGAAAATGTTGTTTCTTAAGCCTGATGCCCTAAAAATGACAGAAAGGGGAGCCAGGAAAGTTCCCCCATTGTCGCCAATGGATTGGATCTTCCCAAGATATTTCAATTGCTGGATCAAGGAATGAAATTTTGCCCTCCCTAATTTGGGAGACTCTCGAAAAACAGATTGGGGGGACACCGAAATCCGAACTCCAAAAATGGCAGAGTTTAGCCGAATTGCACACCCTTACTGGTTAACCTTAGATAACTCATACAGACTCAATCCCAGAAAAACCTGTGATAGGTTTGCTACCCATATGTTAGAAACAGCTTGGAAGCCACCACTAGGTGAAAGAGTCAGTTGAAGTCAAACTGGTGGTCAATTCTATTTTTAGAATCAATGTAAATTTAATCTATAAATCTAATGTTTGTACTTTATGTTAATATAAGGAAAAATATATTACACACATGAAAATAAAAGTTGTATTTCTGGTTAAATGGCAGCAACTATTTCCTAATGTCTATATTTTGGTTTGCATATGGCAATATTAGATCAGTGGTACAGAAAGTTTGTCCTTCAGGTGTTTTAGACTTCAGCTCCCAAAATTCCTGTCCATTGGACAATGGGCTAGGGCTTTTCAAAGTCTAAAACACGTGGAGGACAATGTTGAGCAAATGGATTCATTAACGAAAGACCCTCCTCATAAATGCACAGCAGAGTAATTTAGCAGCAGTGTGACCCAGTACCAGCAGCCCAAAGTGATAAAAAGAACAAAAATACACAGACCAGTGTTATCTCTTCCATATGAGGCTTTTCTTTATAGCAAAATAAAGAAAAGTCTCCTATGGAAGAGATAACATTGGTCTCTGTGTTTACTATTTACAAGAACAAAAAAATTTCAGCCTTCACATTGGAGCTTCACACATGAGACTTCTTTCACACAGAGGTTTATCTCACGCTTCTCAGGATGACACTAGCTTTGGCCTACTAACTCTAACAGGCTTCAGCCAATGCTCTCCTCAGGGCGAAACTATCTTTGGCACACTGACTCTAACAGGCTTTGGCCTACCAACACTTTTAGTGCTCGATTTACATTTTGGTGATTAAAAATACTTCGTTAACTTTTTTTCTATTTCTGACAGACCAACACTTAGAAACTGTATTCATTCTTGAAAGAGTTATCATGGGGAAAAGATGTCTCCACTGAAACTTTATCACCAATTTTTTTTTCCACAAAAGCCAAATTGTTCAAAATCTGGTTTTGCAGTGGGAGTAGAGACGCCAATGAGGATGAAAATTTGTTATTTTAACCCATCTATTGGACATTCCCAGTGTCAAGACCTTGCGTCTAACAGCAACCAGATGCAGAGCCTTTATAGCAGTGGCACCATCACTCTGGAATACTCTTCCACCTGAAGTCCGTGCCTTGCGGGACTTATCAGCTTTCCGCAGGGCATGTAAGACATACCTGTTTCAACAGGCCTTTGATTTTTGATATTGCTGTTTTTAAATTGTTTTAAATTGTTTTAAAATTGTGTTATATATTAGCCATTCTTGTAAGCCACTCCGAGCCCCAGGGGAGTGGCGGTATATAAGTTCAAATCATAAATAAATTAAATAAATAAATTATCACCTGCATTTAGCTGCTTTCTGGAAGCACCCATAGAGACATTCAAAGGGATAGCTATTGTGACTATTTTTTTAAAAAAAAGGATTTGTCAAAACCTTTTTTAAAATTCCAAAAATCAGTAGATGTGTGAATTGTTCTGAAACTTGGGGATAATGATCCCCTGTTATCTTGTGTCATTGTATTGAAAATTCAAGGAGATCACTCTTGTAGCTTTTTAAAACAAATGTTGTTTGTAAAAACTCCAAACATTCCCCAAAGATCAGTGGATGAATGAAATATTCTGAACTTTGATAGGCTAACAGTGGTAATGTGTGCTACAATTATAGCAAGTTTCATCCAAATAGCTCTAAAACTGAGGGAGAAAGAAGTTCAGAAACTTTACCACTTATGCAATTACCTAATGAAAAGTAGTTGCCTTGTTATAGTTTCAACACAGACCCCATCCAATTGCAGAAAGAATTTAGAAATGATTCATGGACTGGTCCATGAAATCACAAAGAGTCGGAAATAACTGAATGAATGAACAAATATATATATATATATATATATATATATATATATATCTGGAGTTCCATTTCAAAATTTTGCAGTTACAACTTACAAACTAATCCAACTTAAGAACAAACCCACAGACCCTATCTTGTTCATATCTTGGGGACTGCCTGTATATGGCAAGAGTAGACTCCTATAATCCTGTTCAATGCAGTTTAATTGCATTATATGAGTCTACACTGACCAATTCTGTTTCAAATTGAATTATATAGCAATGTAGATGGGGTGTTAGACAAATCTGTCCCTTCTTGTCTTCTTGTTTGGTGATGCTTTTTCTTTGAATTTTAAGTGCACAACACAAAATGCCTAGAAAAGTGATACACC